GGCAACCCATTGGAAATTTGGTCAGCTGGAGGTGTAATCGGATAGGGTGCTAGAGATACATCGATAGGTGAATGCTTGACGCTATCGGAATCGAGGTTTGACGGCGACCCTGGCATGTCAGCTTCCTGCTCCCTAGGTACGTTAACGTTAAGCTGAGGAATGCCAGGTGCCCTTGACTGCACAAGATCTGGTTTCAAACGCTCATCATGGATGGCCATTACATCCTTTAGCTTCTTTCTATATTTCTCCTTATCTTTCAAGGCACGCTCGAGATCTTTGTTAAGGCCCAAGATCATGGCTCTCTGTTTATCCACAAGCCTCCACAATTGTGCATTCTGTTGCGATTGTGACTGCTTCTCTTTCAATAAATACTGTATGACGGCCTCGGGACTGCCTGCTGCCCGAACCAAATTAGATATATCTGCAGTTCCAGACTGAGCATCCTGAGAACTTTGATGGGAGTGGGGTTTCGAGGAAATTGCGGATATAGCAGAATCTATAGACGACGTCCTAGGAGCATCCGATGCATCAGGTGTAGATGAGGAACCGCCAGTCATCTTGGGCAGACTCGTGCTGGTAGAGCCTACAGACGGCTTTGTAGATGCGGCTGCGTCGGAAACACCTGGAATGTCATTCGAAGGACGGGAGGAAGGTGTTGCCCTAAAGTACACGTATATTGTGTTAGATTTATTTAAAATTCTAGTCGCCAACAAGGCAAATGATATCGAAGTGATGGTGAACTAAGTAAGATCTATACGAACCCGTAGTTGGGAGAAAATGGTGAGACTGGAGAATTATCACTTGAGTGTTCGATGCGAGTTGAAAGAGGATACTGTGGTTCTCGCAACAGGATCTGATCAACCGAAACGCCTGGGAACAACTCGTGGATAGGATCGGGGAATTTTGATCGATATGGGCTTGCGCTTGAGGGCGGAGACACTGCCGTACTTGTTTGCAGAGGGCTAGGAGCTGGAGGTTTCCGCTGTCTGGTAACAAGTGGGGATTTAAGTCAGCACCAATGTCATGCACGACAGACCATAGGGCAATTATTCAAAGTTGGGGGGGTCCAGGTTGGGAAGTTTTGTAATAAAAATCGGTAAGACAGGAAACTGTTTGAGAGATAAACAGATTAAAAAAAGAAAAAAGAAAAAGGCTGCTCTCCACTTAGCATTCCATAGCATAGGTACGTCTCCACGAGATAGCTAGCCACAAGTAAAGATGGACGGTGGCAGTCAGTGTGTAAATAAATGAAAGGGTAAAAGGAAAAAAAAAATACAATTTCACTAACTTTGCGCTGGGAGGCGGCGGTACTGACAGTGACGGCGGCGGGTTGGAGTCAACCAAGGGATAATTCACAACGGCCCTACCAATTGTTGGACTATCCTCCAAAAGATCAGAATCTAGTGAGCTTTCGCTACACTGAAGCGATAGATGCGACATAGTCCACAGTCCACAGTCCACAGTCCACAGTCTACAATGCAAAAGAAAGCAAAGAGGAACCCAGACCCAGCTGTATGTCGTTGTTCAAGGGGCTGCCGAAAGCCAATCGGCGTCACGAACTCCTGTCGAGGTCGGACCTTCTTGTTCGAGACGCCTGGACGACCCTGATTGACGCCGCATATAATATGACAGGGTTGAGGGGCCGAGAAGATTGAGACAGCTAAGCGCGTGCAGATAACCTATGAGCTGCTAGTTGTTGCAAGGGGTTTTATCAGCTCTTTAGAAGACGCAGTGTCTCGTGTGAGAAATAGATTGTATCTGCAGTCCAGCCTGCACGAATGACAAATATTTAATGACCCAGATGGATGACGAAAAAGAGGAAAGGATAAACCAAGAAATAAAAAATAAAGAATAAAAAAAAATAAAATAGAAACCTGAATTGCAAGGTGAGAGAATGCAAGATTCAATAAGGGGCTAGCCCGAAGTCCAGTTAAGAAAAAATGGTTACATTGTTTAGAAGAGCCTTGTTCGCAACATGGAAAGTAGTGTACGAAGTAATATGTCCAGGCTGCCAGGATTGCCGACAGCATGCTAGTAGTAGTACCTTGTCTTCTGGTGATAAACTCTAGTCAAACGGTAAGTACCACCGACTTGCTAGGCTTGCCAGGCTTGCCAGGCTTGCCCAGCTGCCTTGTACTTTGAATTTAGCAGTGCTACTTTAATTGATGCTAGGATGTTTCCAACGGCCAATGACAACGGGTGAAACCTTAACTTAAGATATGCCCCCACAAACCCAAAACGGATTGATACATGCGCTTAAAGGAAACCGACAGCTCTGATTACATAGAGAGCTCTTATTAAAGTTGAAGAAAACGATTCCACGCACGTGGATTCGGCGAAGCTAACTAACGGTAGAACGGTAGAACGGTAGAACGGTAGAACGGTGGAATGCAGGTACTTAATGTATCGTCAAAATTTAAATTAAAATAGATATCCAGATACCCCTATCCCACATAAGCGTGCCTACCTACATGTAAGGTACATGTGTAAGTAGTCAGTCACATCTAATATTCTGTAGTTGCAGGATATTTAACTTATTAATATAGACACTTAGGTAAGTATTATCATTTAACATTGCTAACCTACATAGACAAACAACCCTTCCCATATCTCTCAAGTGTTGTTATGCACGTGTGGCGTTTAGGCAAGGAAGAGAGATCCATCCTATGTATTGATGACCCCGGATTAGATTTAATTAAACTCTCACGACGAGACCCCTGCTTCGAACCCTGGCAATACGCAGGTCGCATTTCCAGAACCGTCCAGCCGCCCGTTTCGCCAAAAAGAAAAAGAAAAAAAAAAGTCCTCCCAGAAGAACACTAACCTACAGAATAAAAGCTTCCAATTTGTTTTTCTCGGTCCTGTTTTCGCTACCTACCCCAGGTTTTCGAGGGTGATTGCAGATGCCAAATCGGGTATCTGTTTCTTGAAGGAATCTCAAAGATCGCATTATGCCGACCAGGGACTATAGAACCAGCCGGCTTCAATATTTACCTAACCTAGGTAGGTAGTTAAGCAAAGACGTAGAAGAAAGATAAATAAGCTTTGATGCTTCGGATACCTTAATGAACAATGCCTACCTCTATTCATCTCGAGTGTCCCCGAACGAAGGAGATCACAGTCAACCAGGAAAGCTTTACATACACTTGAGGCCGTTTACATACTATGTAGGTACATAGTACTACCGTAACACCCGATGTGGATGTTGATAATGTATGTATCATGCAGGAGGTGGGAAAGAAAATACGGAAGATTTCTGCAGGAACAACATCGGTATCGCGAAGTGCCCCCTTATTGAAGCCCCACCGGCAGCAGCTTATGTAGATGGAAATTTCACCACCCGCGCTTATGGGAACGAGTCTGATTAGGGCGATAAGAGAAAACTAATATCACTTACATCTCCCAGCCTATTCGTCGGTGGTTTGCCTCAACACCATCTCGGCCACAGGCAGACCAATCACGTTGCAGAATTGCTAGAATGCTTCTCGACCGTGAGTTGGCGGTGTGATGAGACAAGCATCGAAGCGTTCAATATCGTCATGATTTTGGTACAGTATCTACACATACATACCTACGTACTAATGTACCTATTCCGTCATGTAGGTATGTACATACCTACATATATAGCGTGGTGTGGCGATCTAGAATTGGATCTTTGTGAACTAGAGTCTGATGCACGTAACAGCCCATGATCCATTCTCCCCATCCGTGAAATCGAAATCTCGCAGGGAGAGCCAAGTTTGGTAGCCTATCGGCCCAACATGTCAGCAGCCACATTTACTGCTTTCGGCTTCTGGCAGCATCCTCTCAATTCCCGGACCTGGCAGCTTGTTTGACAGGTTTTTCGAGGTTTTTCTTTCTTTTCTCTTTGTTCTTTAAAAGCCATTCTATGTACTATGTAATCTACAAGCCTCGTCAATGCCTGCCTCCCTATATCATGATTGGGGCTTAAGCCATGCCGCCGATGCCACGTCGACAAGACGTTCCTCCAGCATTCTTCCCCAGCGTAGCACAGCGAAGAGTCCGTTGCATGACTCTAAAATGCACACAGCCTTACCAATCATGGATGCCGTACTCGGGAGATTTTCATCCTTTCGCAAAGAGGCGTGGTGATACAGATCCAGACATCTAAACTAAGATAAACCATGTATAGTTATACAGAAGCACAACACGCGTAAGCGCTTCAAAGACATGATTGGTCTATGCTGAGACATGTCATGCTCCTAGCCATCGGCAGCTCGTCCGGACGTTGCGTGCGAACGGAAATATCTGTATCTATCGTCCACAATTCCGTTTGCTTTATGCCCCGTCTACCTGTACTACCGGCTAAGTAAGTGCCAAGGCTCGGCAAAGCAGATCCCCCGCTAGATTGAGAATGATTGTAGTGTTAGGTTAGGTACTTATGTATGTACGGTATGCACAACAGTACAGTACAGGGAGTGCCTCTCCAGGATTTACATAAGATCCTTCACCGATAGCCTCTCAATACTAACCAAAGAAAGGCATGCAAAAGGAGAGCACGAGACGTGGGGGGTGCCGAAGTCCCTAGAACGCATCATAGTGTGCCTATGAGCTAGGTAAGAGAACGCTGCTTCGTGAACCAAATCGTTCGATTATGACGCCAGTCTCTCTGCGGAATATTCTCTTGGAAACACCTCCACTGTTCATAATTAGAAATTAGTGTAAGATGTGCACTGGGAATTCAGATGAAGTCCAGTGATCATTTTTCCAGCAGTATTCCCGTAGTTTCGTATCGGTTTCATCAAAAGGGTGACCCGATTGAAGATGAAGTTAACAACATTGAATTTAGGACCGTTACCTTGGTTCGTGCTTTATCTGGGGCTACTAGGGTCAGCGATCCCCTGGCTTGGCTGAGGGCTTGGCTTGATATGACAGTGTTACCGTATGGGTTACCTACCTAAGGTACAATACGGATCCGTACATAGTATTACAGTAGGGATGTTCGGTTCCTCGCTTGGCCGCAGTCCCTGATAAACATTAGGATAAGGATTAATTACGCATTCTGACATTATATCGCACACTTGCCTCATTCAATCCAGTAGCAAGACACGAGCTTCTGATCACCTACTTTGGGAATCAAGAAATAACCCGTCTCCATTATTTCCTCCCAAGGCCGGCCACACTATTCCATCCAAGATAGGTCTCATAATGCTACTCACGAAAAGACGCAAAAAGGGAAGGGAGAATAGTATGACCAACACGGTTGAATAGTATATAACAACTCTATAAACTAAATTCTATGACGATATTTTTATAGACTTAGCGAGATCCCTAGCAAGGAAAGAAGCTATTTAGACGTAATACATCGAAAATAACACAATTTTTTGCCCACACCAAGCCATCGCGTCCTGCCGTTTATATTTCTGAAGTTGCTAAAGCAATGTGGTTATCAACTCCTCAAGCGAATTAGTAACTGTGCGAGACAGGACAGGACAGCTATTTGCTCAAGTTTTGCTTCAGATCTTCCCGTTGGTACCGTTAGTGTGCCCGTTTACGTGACCATCAGTCTCGTTCACTAGGCCTTTCGCAGCCAGTTCTATCAGAGGTTCGTACAGAGAGCCATCCTTAATAGCATCATGGACAATGGAGATCCATCCTCCAACGGTCTTCTTAGGTCGTCCGTCTAGCTCGTCGGCCTCGATGGTGGGGTGCTCAGCAAAGCCCTGGTGGAAAGGCACACCGAGCGTCTGACGGACGTATTGGTATAAAACCTTTGCGCCCTTCCCGAGGACTTCAGGAGTGTGCGGTTCAGCACGGAAAGCCTCAGAGGTCTTTTCCCATACGGCATAGATGGCCTTAGCAGCCTGCTCTTTCCATTGAGTTACATCTGTAACGGACCCCTTGATGTGTTGGACAACGATGGGCACAGCTGTGCTCACAAGAGAGTTGCAACGATCGGGGAGATCTTTTTTGCCCGAAGACGACCAGGAAGGGTATACATGAGCCGCTAGTGCTTTTTGTAGAACTTCCAGCTCATCGGCCGATAGGCTACCAGAAAAAAATTCAGTGGTGACAGACGCGAGTGTCTCGGTAGCCTTCTGCACAAATAGATTGTGTAGCGCTCTCAGGTCTACGGCCTGGCAGCTAGCATACAAATGAGCCGCGGTCATCAGTGTTAAGATTTCTGTAGCTTGTGCGCTCATGCGTGCCGATGCCAGTGCCATCGAGTTTACAGACTGATTATGCATCTCGGCCGCCTGGACGAAAGGGCTCATTGGGGTAGCGAAGTAAGCCAGCTCAGCCATGTAGGACGCCATATTAATCTCGACCCCCTTCATAGTAAACGACAAGCTAGGGTTATCCGAGGCGAGGTTGGCTGGGAGACCTCCGCTAAGCGCCGGATCTACCAGCTCGGTCAGTTGCGAGAAGAGCATCCTGCCAAACATTTGCAGTGACAGCCGCACTTTTTCCATAGCCGACGTAACGGATGCTGCTTGGAAGTTGGCGCCATAGTGAACATCGCCATTCGACACGTCGACCAGTGGGTTGTCACAAGTAGAATTGAGCTCAACGCTGATCTGCTGATCTGCAAGAAGCAAGTCTTCTACCTGTGGGCCGATCCATTGCGGAGCACTTCGTACGGAATACCGATCCTGTGCCATATCCTCAGAACCGCGGTCCTTCGGTCGGAGAACATCTCGCGCAAGGGCCGAACCGCTCATGAAATAGTAAATGTTGCGGGCAACTTCGATTTGGCCCGCATGCGGCCGCGCCTGAGCAATAAATTGGTTGAAGCTCTCTCTGCTCCCATTCAGTGCCTATATTTCCCACCGGTTAACTACTAGTGCTATTACAATAAGCTTACGAGTTTGAACTTACCTCTACCGCCATGCCAGTAAGTGCCTGTGTAAGCAATGCCAGACGATGTGCGTCTGTAATAACCATGGCGGCAAGCGCTGCTGATGACGATGTTCCGTTAACTAAGCCAAGACCCTCCTTCGGGCCGAGCTTTATTGGCTGTAATCCAGCCTCCTTCAACGCTTGCTGTGCGGGAATAACCTTGCCGTTCCTTTCAACAAGGATGCCTGGGTTTCCCTCTATAGTGCCAGCGATGTAGGATAGGGGCATTAGGTCGCCAGAGCTCGAAACAGAACCGCGTAACGGTATCATAGGATTCAAGCCATGTTTGACCAAGGCTACTATGGACTTGAGGACCGGGAGCGTCACCGCAGAGTGACCCCTGAGGTTACTGTTACATCTGACGGCGATGGCTCCGCGGACCCATGACGTGGGCATAGAGTAGCCTGGGACAGAGCCATCGGTAGATCTTGACATAATACCAGACTGGGTAAGCTGCATCAGAGATGATTGCAATGCTATAATTTGGTCAGTACGGCTATCCGCGCTACCTCCGAATCCCGTATTGACGCCTATCAGCTAGTCAGTGGTTGATGCCAACAAAACAACCCGGATTTACATACCGTAAACATGCCACCCCTTTGAAAGGTAGTGGTATAAGACATCCACGCTGTCTTGGATACTCTTGACGATATCCGGGTCTTCAGTGATCTCGGGTATACACCCGTGTCTAGCATCTCGTCAGTAAAGGGATACATTCTACGATGATACGAAAACATACAGGGCCGTAGCGACAACATCCGAGATGTGGAGATTCTGGCCATCTAGGACATAACTGCCAGCCTTGATGCGCTCTTGTAGGTGGTCCCATGCCTCGCAGACCTTGGCGAGATGAATACTTTGGTTCCCCATTGCGGATACGGTGAGCGGGTTTAAAGAGATGTCTAGATGACTGGATGACTAGATGTCTGGATGTCTGGATGTCTGGATGACTAGATGACTGGATGACTAGATGTCTAGATGTCTAGATATCTGGATGCCTGGATGTCTGGATGCCTTGATGTCTGGATGTCCGGATGTCTGGATGTTCAGCTGGAGAGTAGAATATAGAGGAACTCGGAAGAAATATATATAGATAGATGTTCACAAAAAGAATAAGCGCCTAGATGGTAGCTAACAAAGGTAGGAGCAAGTTAATCTATAATGCACTCTTTGAAGTAGTACCTGCTTCCTTGACTGTATCTACTTTGGGTATCTAATGAGTTTTGTTTCTTCTCGATTTTCTTTGAGAGAGGTGATTCGCCTCGGTTTAAGTAGTAAGGAGCCGCGTCGGGATGGAAGGAAGAATAGTAACACAACGCCCCCTGCATCTAAGTGAATATATTACATTCACTGTAAGCACTGTGTGTAGCTCACAATGGATGGTTACTTCTTTGAGGTTTAAGTTTCATATTGGACCCTTTAAAGTTTGTTTGTTTATACTGGGTAGCATTTATAGCCTATCGTGTCGTTACACAACCTATTGCTTACAACATTGAAGGTACACATACTTTACATATGCATCATGATATGATATGTACCTACCTTTTACTGACACACATAGGCAGGTATACATGGGATTAACTAGCGGTATAACTATCTGATTACATACATGAGTCTTACATGTAGGTCATATTAAATTAAATAGCTGATTATTACACTTACGTCCATTGTAGGCCCTTGTGTTACCCTCCAAGACATATAATACTACGTTAGTCCTGCAGTCAAAAGCAACTGCACACCACTGTAGAAAGGTCTAAAAGGGCGCCATTATGTCTTCATGTACTTAGTCTTTGCGAGCGGACCTGGGCGGGATTTTCAACAACAAGCTCGTAAGCGCGACTATAAAAGTGGAGAATCCCGATAACCAGGGTCCTAAATTCGAAGCGGCTTTTCTCTCAAGAGACTTGCATACCTAAGGTAATCTTGAAAGATATTACTCGTACGACTTTACTATAACTTTGAAACATACGGGTTATCCGAAAGGTAAGTTAATAGAAAGAACATTACAAAGACCGCAATACTAATAGGATTCCACAGGAACATAAAAGGAGGCTCCTAGAACAAAACAGTGCACATGCAAAAAACGAGGCGAGCAACACGCACTAAATAAAGAGCCCATTATTTAAGGGATCCAAGCACGAGCTTTGCCAACTCGTGCTTTATATAATCTCCTTTCATTACACTTGAACGTCTACCAATGAAAAAAAATTTGACATTAACGGATTTAGGGAAAGAAGTACCTAGGTAGTTAAGGGAGATATATGACGGAATAATTAAGCTCAATTGGCTAGGCTAAAGCAATGCTTTTTTTCGTTAGTTATAACTAAGACAGAAACCACTACCTGAGGGATTTCTGTCCTTGCAGCAACAACCCTATTTTAACTTAACCTCTACTATCTTCCAATGACTCTTTTATTGTAAATCATAAACTACCTAAAGTATATTCTGGAGGTTTGAACTTCTATTATACAAGATGACTTCCTAATAAACACACAAGCCTGCCTAAGGTAGTGATTCAGGTTGGGCATTTCAATCGAGATCTTTGCCAGATTAAGAATAGCCGAGTTACGAGGGAATAAGAGATGATATGTTTCGCCTGGCGATACCCGCATCGTCGCCAGGATGTAGGCTTCGGGGTGCGTTTGGTGGCTTACGGCTACCCATTGTCAGCCATATTGTCATTGTGGCTTGGATTCTTTACTGCCTTAGTAACTACCTACCTACAAATTCTGTCATATCATGTACAAGGCAAGATTAGTCATCTATTAGGTTAAACCGCTGCCAAATATCCAAGCTCGTGTAACCGTAGGTTGATTACCTAAAGGTGTAAGTTGAAGCTATAGACGCTGGGCTGATTAGGTAATATAAAGAACCTATACTTCGTAGGGCTGGATCTGCGAGTCTATGATAGGTTGCAATTTTCTGGCCAGTCAAATCCTAATCGGAGGTCGTTACACATTATCTTTAAACTCCTTGAATCCGATATATTTCTATGGGGATTAAAGTGTTAGGTAGTCGTATTCAATCGGCTCTATTGCCGAATGTACCAGTATCGTAAAATGTTATTAGATTAACCAAAACCAGAGAATGAATAATACTAGTTAATATATTAAAATGCTTACTTTCCTATCCACTTAACTTAGCGAAATATTTGAGGATATATTTATGATTTATATCTTTAGCATCGGGATTCGGGATATTATATAAAACGCTGCAACTAGGGAATGGAAAGGTTTATGATATTGCTGATCCGATAATATAAACTTGGCATAGCTGTATCGGCAGATCCAATCATAACCTAGATGGATAATCCCAAAGACCCTAGTAAAAGCCAAGTCATCGGTGGATCGTTAAAATAAGCATAATTGTATGCGCCAGCCCGGGAAACTGCCTGAGAGTGATTGGAGGATTCCCATTTCGGCATGGTACATAGTAATCCTCGAAACTCTTAATCCTGTTTACACGTAAGGATTCTGCGGCTCGTGCATGGAAACCTCATTATCCGATGTGAATAATGATAAAACTGTGCACGGAATAGATCCGGATTTATACTTCAAGTTATTGAGGTTGCATCGCATTCGGACGGTCGGAGACATAAACTTTTGTAATTCCTCCGTTCGACCCCTGACCATGACCTCACCATCGTGGAGATGGAAGGGTTATGCAAGAAGGGGGATATTGGCCGAGTGGGTTTAAGATACACCCGTCCAATGCATCCCAAGCTACCGTGTAAATCCGACCATCCGTCAACCCACCGAACCCACTATAGATAGTCGAGGAGGCGGGCAGTCGAGTCTTCGTCGTTAATGCGCCCTATCATAGCCACGAGAGTCCGACGCAGGCTCCGACACGGGATTCTAAATTCATATAAGTTAGAACACGCTCCTGTCACTTGGGATAGAGACAGTTCTTTAAAACTCCAAAGATCTTTACCGCGTCTACGGCATACGCATACTTAGCAAAATGGCGCCTCTAGGTCTGGAGAGTCCGCTCGATTTTGTTTTTATAGGCTGTGCACTAGTGAGTCCGCTTCCCTTTTGATTCCGAAGTGTAGAAATAAGAGTAATACAACTAACTAGACTGAAAGGTGATTGCCACTGTTGTGGGTAAGGCTTTCTACAATGTCTTTCTGCACCCTCTACGATCTTTTCCTGGCCCGTTCTTATGGAAGCTCACACCTCTCTTCAAATATATACGCTTGTACCGGGGTGACTTGCCTATATATATGAAAGAATTACACGATAAATATGGACCAATTGTGCGAATATCCCCGCACGAGCTAGCATTCAGTGACCCCCAAGCTTGGAAGGACATCTACGGTCATCGCCACAATGGTGCGCCGGAGTTCCCTAAGTACGACGGTTTTTACCGGGCTGTCGACAACGTTCCTCGAGGTCTCATCCACGCTTTTCGAGAGGAGCACAGCTTCCTGCGACGCCAATTGTCACACGGATTCTCAGAGCGGTCAATGCAGCTCCAAGAGCCCATTATCGGATCATATGTAGATCTGCTGATTTACCGACTGCAAGAACGATGTGGCGATGGCTCAAATCCTTTGAATATGCGTGAGTGGCTAAATTGGACCACCTTCGACATTATTGGCGACTTAGGTTTTGGTTCTTCGTTTGGTTGCCTCGACAAGAGTGACTACCATCCATGGGTTAAACTCGCCGCCAACTCAGTGCGGCAGGCTGCTTTTATGATCGCTCTGTCTGACATGGGACTCAAGCCTGCAGTGCGGATGCTCCTGCGACTTAAGAAGCTCTCGATTACAGATAACCAGGCATTAGTTCAGGCGAAGCTGAAGCAGAGGATAGAATCTGGCATCGAGAGGCCAGATTTCATTGAAGGTCTCATAAAGCATAAGGAAGAGGGAAAACTCGGGTTCATGCAAATAGCCACCAACGCGAATACTATCATTATAGCCGGAAGTGAAACGACAGCGACTCTTCTAAGCGGTGCCGTCTACCTACTTACGACCCATCCGGATAAGCTCGAAAGGATCACCGAGGAAGTGCGTTCTTCCTTCAATAATGACGACGAAATCACATTAACTTCCGTCGGAAAATTGTCGTATATGCTGGCCTGTCTTAACGAGACCCTCCGACTGTATCCCCCTGTGCCAACTGGACTGCCACGCCAGTCGCCTGAGGGTGGTGCTACTATCATGGGGAAATACGTTCCAGAGGGCGTGAGTATCCCTTGGCTGGCCGTTCTTGTGAGGCGAGACTAACAGTTTGTAGACCGTTGTGGCTGTCTGGCAATATGCTGTTAACCATGACCCGAACCATTGGACCGACCCCTATTCTTTTGCCCCAGAGCGGTTTATGGGCGATCCGAAGTACAAGGGTGACAAGTTTGATGCGATGCAACCATTCAGTGTCGGCCCGCGGAACTGCATTGGTCGCAAGTATGTCTCCCATTCTCTTGTCGTTCGCTTTGAGAATTACGTTCTAACACTAGAAAAAGCTTGGCTTACGCCGAAATGCGCCTCATCTTGGCCAGGATAATTTACAACTTCGATATGGCCATTAATGAAGACAGCCGAGATTGGATGAATCAGTGTGCTTACACCTTATGGGATAAGCCGGCGTTGAACATCCACCTGAAGCCTGTTGCTCGATGAGATTGATAATCGGGGAGCTTCTGCAGAAGATACATAAGGTAAGCTTTCTCCAGGACAATTACTCGCTCATGAGTAAATTTGTTGAATCGTAACAACCAACTAAAAGGTAGCTTTAATTAGACGAGTCTCTGAGGGATGCTATTCCCAAATTGTCTAAGACTGGAAAAGCTAGGTAGTTCTCTAAGAAAGCTCGTGGATGTTGTCGAGTAGTATCAACTTTGCACCATCTTCCTTTGTAAGGGTATTTTTCCAAGCAGCTTGGATTTTAAAAATCTCTCATGAATACACTGCTTTATACCCCTGAAACTGTATATCCATTCTCACTATTTATTTCTAACATACCTGTCTGATTATAAGAAGCTATCTTATGACGATGAATTGAGGTAGCGACTCTTCGTATCCATAGATCTAGGATATTCAGGGCGAGCTTCCATCCCAGGTGTGCAGGGAAGTTCACCGAAGTCAAGTTTCTTATTTAAACCAGGATAGTACTGTCGCATCACTAAGGTTGTAACAACGAAGACACCTTGAATACAGCCGGCAGTGTCAGTAGATAGGTGCATCATCGGTTCGGTAAATTAACGAAGGAATAATTCCAGCCAAACTCATAGCTATGTAGTTGAGGTCTATTGTGCCCTATATTTGCTTAAACTGAGTGTTGATAGTAGTAGTTTTTTTTATTATATTTATATATATATTTAAAAAAGCATGTACCCAACTAGTTTGATTTATATTACTGTCTTGAATTAAACTATCACACGTAGAAGTAGTGTCGCTAGATAGGAGTATAGGTAACCATTTGACTATCTAGGCACTTATTATACTCACATATAACTTGGGCTTACTAGGGACTCGTCAAAGCTATCTTGATGTTCCAACTACAACTTTTTCTTCTTCTCATCTTTACGTATTTCTGCTTCTAGCCAGGGCAGAAATCATAGTCCAGAAGTCGTCAATGACCCACTATATCACGCAATCCCCAGACTGAGCCATCTTCAATAGAAGTTATACTGATGTTCTTGGACAGGAATTCTTTCGACTACCATGTCCCGAAATGTCCGCAAGGTCCTATCCGATACCAACCGCTTGGGGTTTCGAGTACTGCATTGAGGTGGTTGATGGCTTAGGGGGACGATTTACCTCCGGATTAATCGTGGATTCGTGAGTAAGTTGATAGATTGTGATTATCAAGCGTACATTGTATATCACTGGCAGGGAAATCATGACATACGATATCCTAGTACCTATTCCCGTTGCGGAATATAGTTACATTATGATGCCTAGCCAGCTATTGGCTAGCTAAGCATCACTACATGGTACATATCTATGCGGGGCTCTTGCGTAAGAAGAGACGCTTCCTACATAAGATGATATTCTTTCAGCGTATTCCAGAGCAGTAGATCTCTGCTTGTCTTTCATCGATGGAAGTCACAGAAAGCTTCATTAGCACTAGTAGTCAAAATGGCTGGTTTACTCACCTTATTGGGCGACATCACAAGATTTGATATCTCCCTCCTTAGTTTCCTAGCAAAGCTGCTATTCTTCGTACCGACTCTGGCCTTTTCTATCTATATTGCCCTCAACGAGATAGTACGACTACAAGGCCGAATTAATAACTTATCAGGGCCATGGGGTTACCCTTTATTCGGGAGTCTTCCTTCTTTACGTGGCACCGCTACGTCGGACGAGTATAGAATAGTACGTAATATAAGAGTACCGGAGGCTTGAATATCATTTATACTACTATAGTACCTGGGAATAAATATATTTGCATCGTACCTCCCTATATCCTCTTTTATACCATGTAAATACTTCACTAACACTTATCATAATAGTGGGCTAAGCAATATGGAGACGTATTCCAAGTGCCATTGGGAAACACGACAGCCGTAGTAGTGAATAGTACAGCGGCTGCCCGTGCGCTTTTCATTGGACAACGGGAGGCAACAAACTCGCGTCCTGTATTCTACGTCCTACACAAGAAAGTACAACAGGGAGGGCCTGTAACGAGCATCGGAACTAGTCCTTGGGATGACAGCTGTAAGCGGCGACGTAAAGTTTCTGCCACAGCCCTGAATAAAACCAGTACAGAGAGTTATCTTCCTGTATGTACTTCATGCGACAGAGTCTGACTCTCCCATCTAATCTCATGCGCGGTAGATATTAGACCTCGAATCAAGAGCATTGACACTAGATATCTTATCTAGCTGCAAGGGCGGCGATGTATCCGTCGACGTGCTTGACCTGACGCGCAAGTTCGCATTAAACCTTAGCTTAACGCTGGCTTATGGAACGCGGTAAGTACTGTTTCTCACCATGGAAGAATGCTAACTAATCGACATATGGAAAGCGTTGAGGATGTGAAAGATTTGCATAGAGACCTAGTTATCTCTGAGATCATATATATCGAAGAAGAGATATCAAAGTTCCGGAATCCCACTAGCAACTTTTCTAATTACATCCCGCTTCTCCGGCCCCTTAATACTGTTGCGGGGTGGCTCGGGCTACAGAAGGGTTCACATATGGCAGACGTGGGGAAACGGCGGTACGCTTATCACCACGTCTTACAGGAGAAACTAAAGAGAGATATCGCGGATGGTGTTGACCGTCCTTGTATTCAAGGAAACGTCCTGAAGGATCCAGAGAGTAAAGGTCTCACCGAGGGCGAGCTACTTAGTATCGGACTTAGCATGCTCGCAGGCGCTGACACTACTAAACGATCGCTGATGTGGGCTATCCTGCTCCTAGCGCACCGTCCGGACATTCAGGAGAGGGCCTACAAGGAGATCGTGGAGACAGACGCCCGCTTACTTGAGTCACCAAATGTCGCGCACTCTAGGGTCGAGTACGTAGAGGCTTTCACAAAGGAAATCGGCCGCTATTTCGTAGTCCAGCGCCTTGCATTGCCGAAAGCCACATACTCGCACGTTCAGTGGAAAGGCGCAGTCATTCCCCCTAATACGCTACTGTTTCTAAACTCCTGGGCATGCACGCGAGGTGAGGAGCTGATCCCAATTTAACCATATGCGATATTAACTAACGATTTATGTGCCTAGATCCGTCCGTATTCTCGGACCCCGATACATTTGCACCAGAGCGTTGGATGGACGGCGACCAGACAGCGAATCGACACCAGTATGCTTTTGGCATCGGAGGTCGAATGTGTATCGCAAGCCATGTTGCTACCAAGGCCCTCTATGCCGTATTCCTCCATCTCATCGCACACTTCCAAATCCTACCAGCGGGAGACACAACGGACCCCATTGTTGCGGATCCTATAGAGGGCTTACTTGCCCGGGAAAATCCCATCGCGGGACCGAAAGCTAGGACGGTGCGGTTTGTGCCGCGAAATGTCGATGCAACTCGACGGATGTTGTCCTCGGAGTCTTAGTAGGAAGAGCACACACACGCAGAGATCAAGAAGGAGAGTTAGAACTAAGACTGATATAGATAGTAGCTTTGAGTAGTGTTAATATGCATAAGACTCCTAAATAGAATGTAGCGGAGATAAGTCTGATTAAAAAATGAAAAAAAAGGCCCCTGCCGATTATAGATCTATCCAGCCTACCAGATTATACTTTAGTATTTGATAGTTATTTTTATATCATAACAGTAAGAAGGTGAGTCAAGTAGGTAGGCACCGAAAAGGATACCATATCTCAGTGCCACGCCGGTGTATGAAGGCTATCTTCAAACTTGCCCCTAATAGTAGCCTCCGTTGCGCTCTCCACCAACTGTCCAAGCTTTTCATCAACTCTCCTGAACATCGCTGCACGGGTCTCAGTCAGCCATATTGTATTTGGGTTGCGGAGATGTTAAATAAAACGCTGAATAAGAGTAACGTACCGTAGGCTTCATCTCTGATCCACTGCGTCTGCACGGCGCTGAGGTGAGCAGATAAGTTGTCCACGAATCGCTGCTGTGCGCCCTCCTGCTTACCCATTAAGTCCCACAGAGCTGTTGACTGCTCGAAGTCTTTCTCCGTTACCTCCGAGGAGAAAACCACGGGTATTCCGCTTTCAGGGAGTGGACGGTCGAGTCTACCTGGATTTCCCTTCGAAGTATTTCCGTCTACCCCGTCTACCCCGTCTCGGGTATTGTTCCCAGGGCGAAGGAATTTAACCGGTTTTAGCTTCGTTCCCACATAGTTAGGGTCACCTCCGTAATTGGAGGTAAAGTTCATGGAGCCGTCCCGCTCGATTGGGCAGTAGACTTCGCTCTTTGGCGCGTTGGTGGGTAGGAACTGATAGTTCGCTCCGAGCCGGTAGCGAGCAGCGTCAGGATAGGCGAACATACGAGCCTGCAGCATCGGGTCTGGACTTGGCTCAATGCCTGCCACCATATTACTTGGACTGAAAGAGGCCTGCTCAATTTCCGCAAACCAGTTCGACGGGTTCTTATCAAGCATCATACGGCCAACCTTGCGTCGCGGGTATTTACCAAGCGGCCATGTCTTCGTGATGTCGAAAATGTCCACAGGCGCATCTCCAATATCTTCCGGACGTATCACTTGCACGTACATGTCCCACGAAGGGAAGTTGCCCGATCTGATTGAATCCTGAAGATCGGCAAGATGCCTATCGGGCTCGGATCCGGCTAGCTTAGCTCCCTCCTCGTCGGTGAAGTAGTGAATCCCCTGGTTTGTTAGAAAGTGGATTCGGACGTAACAGTACGAGCCGTCAGATCTGGTGAACTTGTACGTGTTTTCACTGTAGGCGTTCACATGTCGTGCTGATGATGGAAGACCTCGATCTCCAAAGAGGAACATCAAGGCATGGACACTCTCCTGATTGTTGACGTGGAAATCCCAGAACATGTCCGAGCTGGCAACTATATGCTCAATTAGCAACCATTTATCCGGATATACACGAAATGAAAACTTCTGCTTTTTATAACGAACAGCTATGCCGGGACTATTCTTTAGAAATTGAAGCTTGACTTACTATTAGTCCTAGGATCTCGTTTGTGACTACGGTTCAAAGATGGGAACTTCGTCGGGTCTCGAACGAAGAAGACTGGCTATATCCCTTTTGTTAGTACACTCAGGCAATCAGTACGGGCCATAAATGATATACCTGATTGTTGAACACAAAGTCTTGGTTCCCCTGCGCCGTCTTGAACTTCATAGCGAATCCTCGGAAGTCTCGTACGGTATCTGCAGATCCTCGCTCGGGGGCAACTGTAGAAATCCGGGCAAGGACCTCAGTCTTCTTACCGATCCCGGTTAAGAAGTCGGCATCCGTAAGATCAGATATATCATCTGTTACCTCAAAATAACCTCTGGCCCCGCCAGCTTTAGCATGTACACTCCTCTCCGGAATTCTCTCCCGAGAGAAATGTGCCAGGTTTTCGATTAGCTGAGTTGATGTAAGCAGGACAAACCCACCACCGCTGCCGGTGCGTATTTGAGTCGAAGTGTCATTCTTCGCAAGAGGTTGACCCTCTGCTAGGGTATAGTATGGGGTTTCTGGAATTGTCTCCGACGCCATTATAAGTTTCGTTTAATTCCTGTGAGTGTTGAATTTAAGGTAGCGAGGTCGACGAGTGTGTTTGAGTACTAAACAATAAGAGACCTTGATGTAAAAATGTACTTTGAGTTTTGTGATTCTGATTCTGTGCGTTATCCAGGTCCTGAGTTGGTTAAGATGCTCTTCTCTAGAAGTCAGCCATCTTCTCTTATACTTTTTTATTAAGGCCCTTAGTACCGCGGAGATAGGACTCATCACCACTATATTGTATACGAGATACGCATTCCATACTTGCCGGCTTACTCTCACGGGTACAGCAAAATCTAGTACATCTCATTCAGAGGTGATATCCATCCCCGAAGCCCGAATCGTCGTCGACTTGGTGTCGCGTACCCCTGTTCGGTGTTCCTCGGGCTTCGCTCGGAAAATATGTGCAAAGGGATAAGCTAAGCATGGAGTCCCTTAGGTTAGAGCTATCGACCATATCTCAGCATGTTCAGCATTTAACTATTTCGACTACAGTATATTAGTTATTTACCAAGGACGTTTATAGCTTAAAGAAGCTGTTATCTGTTATTCATTATTTCCATGAAATCTTCAATCTCAACCCTGAATTTCCTACGGCATTATTCAAGCACAAAGTGCTTAGCTGTTAACGGCGTAACATAACAACTCCATAAATTAAACCGGCTTAATCCATATACCACACCAGAAATGTTTTAGCATAGAAAATCTCTATATCCGGGTGCTAGACCCTGAGTTAGACATGTATTAATCTTACGCCAAGAGGAAAGAGCGGCGTGTGTGGGTAACTACTCCGAGGACCGGGATTCCGAGCTAAAAGCTCCGTACTGTTCCGTTCGGCGGCTTTTATTAGAAGTGGGGCGACGATCCTCCCGGCATACCGATCTATAGAGTTCCTTGGGCGGGTTGGACTGAATTTTCATTTCCACGTACCACACGTAGTTTTTTTTATGTTTACATTTACTGGTAATAGGTAGTTTGGTTACTCCGATTCCTCCTCCCACGATAGGCTATAAAGAAATAGTAGGTGTCGGCAATTACGGTTGGCCTTTAGCTTTCATGGCAAATGAGTCACTGGAGGCTTATATTAGGTATATGAAAGTACACTTATGTAACAAATTCTAATATGTGGAAGGGTGGGTGGAAATTATCAATATAACGAACGTCCAGGTTTGTAGTTAACGCCTTTTTGTCCACCCTAGGATACAATGATAAGAAGTTTAAATAATAGCCGTCCTACGTGTAAGCCTTTTGTATAACACATGCCAAGATGTAATTCCGAACTACATAATATCGTTATACTGGAATCGGCTATCGTGAAATAGTAAGCCGATCACAACAAGGCTTGCGCCCATCTTCATTATAGGTTAGAATAAACTTGCATTGCCGCCACCCAGTTGCGTCTGAGCTAATCTTGGATGTAGCCGCTCCCGCGCGGCGAAACCCCATAAAGCTATTAGTAGGGCTTATTAATAACTGCTTTGAATTTCATATTGCGAGTTAATCGAGATAAACCTGCCTTAACTATAGCCGGAGGAGATATATTCAGGAGGGATAAAGCGCATTCATCTTGTTCTCCCCATTGTGATCAACGATTAGTTACTTATGTGTATAATCATGTCTACTATGGATTCGACAGTCGCTATCTAGGTGAAGTTTAAATCTTTGGTTGAAAGATTTGTAGTTGAAGTCAAAAGACATATAATTCAATATTGGTATCTATCATGCCATCTAAGAGGAGTAAAAGCCTCGAATAGAAAATCGTCGTCGTCATTTAAATCATCCCGCTAAGCGCCAGAGTCCATACAGCCATTTATGCTCGCGGAAACTCCAATTCTAATAGAAATTAATATTGATCGCTTCCGAAAGTCCCGAGGTGTTGTCAATTGAACAAATTATGAAGATTACTAGCGACCACCATAGTCACTAGCATAACCAATCTGCTCGCCGAAGTTTTGTTGCAGACCGCCCTCTCCGAAGCCGGTACCAGGGCCACTTACGTAGCCCGTATCATCGCCATCGTCGTAATCCGAGGCATCAAAGCTTGACCGACCACTGAGCTCGTCTTCTACGTTGCTCATATCACCCGGTTGACCCCAGTTCATCTGCGCCAGTGCTGGATACTGTGCTAATAAGGCAGCAGGTAAGGCATAGTTACCCGTCTCTATACCAGGATAAATATTGGGGTCCATGACCGGTTGTTGTTGAGCCATGTTTTGTGCTATGCTCTGCATTCGCTGTTCCTGCCACAGCCGTTGTCTCTCAAGCATTTCTTCGTCTAACAATGGCTTGATACATATGCGGCCTGCTTCTGATCGGAAATGGCGACCTAGCGCATCCGCTCGAGCGAACCGCCTTCCACAGCCCCATTGGCCCCCGGCTTTGAGATCCCCTTTGCAGACAAATTTCTTTTCGCCCGAATGAAGTCCCTCGTGACGTTTACGGTCGTGTTGTCTAGCGAATGCCTTTCCGCAAACCGTGCATACGAAGGGTCTTTCGTCAGTGTGGGTCCGCAGGTGGGATCGCAAATTGTATGCTCGGGTAAACCGCTTGGGGCAAAGGGTACATTGAAAAGTGGCAGGATGTTTCTGGATTCGCTTCGTTCCTCCATTGTCTTGAGCGGCTTGGTATTCCGGGTCTGCTAGGCGGAGCGCTATCACATTATTGGGGACCGCAGACATAGATTGACGCCTTCTAGAGACAGCATTGGCGCTACCTGACCGGTCACCAGGCGAAAGTGAACGAGTCGAGGACTCGGACCCGGAACGGCTGCGGTTGGCCAAATCGGCGCCTAGGTGTGGCGACAGACTTCCAGGGGTATTCGGTCGTGAGAGGACAGCCCCTCCGCTATTATAGGGGTCCGTAACTGCCCGTGGGCGGGATCGTGGGCGACCTGTATGTTTAGTTAGGATATAAATACCTAAAGTTACAAGTAGGACTCACCTCTGTCTGGTGGGGTTAGAGACTGCGCATCCATGGGCGGCTTCGGGGGCTCGAAGCTATTTTGTCGCGAATTAGGCGCAAAGTCGATATTTATAGACGGCGGAGCCATAGGCTGGGCTATTAACGGGTCTATTGGCGCTTCTTGACACAGGG